AAGCTTCATAGGACTGAATGGACCTCTACAGATTTTTATTTATCAAATAAATAAAAGACCAAAGAGAGAAGCAACCGTTCCTTATTTGCTTTAGCCTCCAGTCCCCTAATCATCCTTGTTGCTCTTCTCTGCACTCTTTCTAGAGTCTCAACATCTTTTTTACATCGTGGTGACCAAAACTGGATGCGGTATTCCAAGTGTGGCCTTACCAAGGCATTTGTTGTTGAACTCTGGCAATTGACTTCCGGTCTTTTCTTGTGGGGGGGTCCCACCCTCTGGAACATTCTGCCCCTCCCACCCAGATGGGATACACACCTGCCCTTTTGGCTTTCTGTTTTGAAGACAGGGCTGTGCCAATTAGCCTCGATTCCCAACGGGGGTGCAGCACTTTGGGGGGGGCTGATGTAGTGGAAACCCCCCCTCCCATCTCCTCCCCAATTTCACTTTGCTCCTTTGCTCTCCCCGTGGGTCAGTTTTATTTTAACTGAATTTTAAATTCCCCTTTGAATTTTAAATTTTGTATTCCTATTTATTCTAGGTGGTTCTAGAACACCTAGAATCACCTCTGGCGCGACAGGTGACATGCAAGTTCAATAAATAAAAAAGTAAATGAAATATTAGCCTATATTAGGTATGAATGCAGTACATAGGGAGCTAGTAGGCAGGGCATAGATTGCCTCTGGTGGAAATGATTGATTGATGAATTGATTGATTGATTATTAAGACAACCTTGAACAAACGAGGCTAAAAGACACACTTGATTCAAAATAAAAGCCACCATCAGGTTTTTTTTAATTTTTGCTTTTTATTCACTACTCCTTTGCGATCAACAATCAATGAACTCTAAATTCTTAGTATCAATGTATACAATGTGCCATGAATTTTAAGTCTGACAATGGGAATGATTTTATACCTGGGAACATAACAATCAATAGCTCATACTAACCCAAGAGGCTATAGAAATACACATTTAGATTTGGCACCGATCAATACTATGTTATAAAAATAAAATGTTACTAAAATATTGACTTTAAAGCAGCACACAGTATAAAAAGTTGGGATATATTGTCACCTCGTCACTACATAATACTCTATCAGCTCATCTGAATACAGTTCTTATATCTAGCCTGCATCAATCCATGTAGCCATAAGGTGAGGATCAAAAACAACTCTTCTATCATCGAAAGATCATCTTTTTTTTAAAGCCCAGACACTCACTTAAAAAATAAAAATAAACAACAGATCTCTCTCATATGTGCTGATCTATATATACTGACCTGTCCAAAATGTTATCTTTGTATTGGATCAAACCAGATGAGAGATTTAACTCATGAATGCAGTTAACCCCGTCTACTTTTTTTCGGCATAAAAAAATAGCTTTGGGATATAAGAGTTGGATCGCAATAACCCTTTCTCACATACCTCACAATAAAATTTCTCTACTGGGAGGAAGAAACCAAAAATCAGAAAACTTAAAAGGCGTCGATAAAGTGCTTGGTTTATGTGTGCGTTCAATATATATATTGCATAAATATACAAACGTTTTTACAAATTAAAAAAAACTGCAGCTGTGAAAAGTCAAGAAGAGTAAAATTCACCGACTTGTTTTGATGCTTCCTAGCCAACCTTACCAAAATACCCAACTCTTGGGCTTTGCTGGTGCACCCATCAAAATTCCTTCAGATGAACCTTTTTGTGTGTGTATTTTGTCCTTCTGCAAAGAGCTTTGGGCAAAACACACGAGCGCTCCAATGGGACATATCCAGTGGGTTTAAAAACTTATCCAAAATCATGCTCGCAAATGGATGGGTGGAATTTTGTTGAGGGAAAGCTAAAATTGCTCATTCTGTTGCTATTCTTCTGTCTACACTGTGTCACCACCAACCTGCTAGGAATGGAGAATTTGGTAATTCGCTTCTGTTTGAAATCATACCTTCCAGCTGCAAAGATCCAATTTTTTCTAGGTTGGAACTTGCAGTTCAGATAAAGTAGTATAAAGACCATCTTCCTTAGAAACCAAGGGATCTGATCATTAATGCTTCATAAATCAATATTTTTGACTTCCTTGTCTCCAACAAATCTTTGGGGCATGCATGCTGCAACTCCACAATCAAATCCTTTTTTAACATTCCCCATTAAATTTGCATAGATAGCCATGATACGTAGTTTTCTAAGTTGCAAAGTAAAATTGCATTCTATTGTTTGGCTACAACTCGCTGTAACTGATATGAAAACTTCCCTGAAATCCAGGCAACCACAAAGCATGCACATAAGAGAAAAAATAGTGTTATCACATAATAGGACAGTTTGATGGAAGGGTGCCCAGAATATAAATTGGATAGGTTTTGCTTAACGATGCATGGGCAAGCATTTTGTCCAAGAGACATTGCTTTATCGAGTACGCTGGACTAAAACAAGACTTGAGCCATGCCTTGTTAATATCTCAAAATATCCCTGAATCGGATCTTCTCGGTAAAACCCAGTTGAAATCTGAAAGCTTGCTTATTTCTGGAATCCATGAGTCCAGAGCATTTCTGTGCTGTTTATTGATTTCTAGGAATTAACTTGAGTTGCTGGGAAAGGTTCAAGAAAACCTGGAGGCATTATATTGCGCAGGACAAAGATTGAATTGTTTCACTGCATGAGCCATTTCATGCAAAACAGATAGTAGCTCACCCATTTCTCAGAAGAATTTCAAGACAGATGGGTCTAATGATATATATATATATATGTATATGTATATGTATATGTATATATATGTAGGTCTTGGCATATTCGGGTCTTTTCCAGTGTAAGATTGAGAGTATGTGTGGAGTGCTGGCTTAGTTGCTGTAGGTGGGTTGGTTCGCTGTGTGGGAGTTATTGTTTGCGGATTGTTTGGCTGTTTTGTAACATCCTGAGTAGTTGAGGTGTTGGCTGTGTGCCCATTAGTCTTTTGTGTTATAACGACCTGGTTATAGCAAACCAACCCATCTACAGCAACTAAGCCAGCACTCCACACACCCCCATCAATATTTATAAAGAGACGGCAGCTCCGATCACACTTTGCTCGCACAAGCACGAAGCCGAAGACCCCAGCCTGAAGATGATGAGTGGGACCTCGTTGAAACGTCACCAAGATACACTCAATCTTATACGGGAAAAGACCCGAATAGGCCAAGACCTGCATACCTGTACCCGTGAAAATCTA